CGGCCGAAACGTCGGGAGAGTGTTATTTTATTATTTTATTCTCATTCTACGTGACTTTACCGAAAGAACCAAAGAAGATGAATCCTTGCAGTCACGAAAGCTTCAAATAGAAAGGCCACTTGTGTTGTGGCCGAAACGTCGTGAGAATTTTTATTGCGTTATTTTATTTTATTAATTTATTATTTTATTCTCATTCTACGTGACTTTACCGAAAGAACCAAAGGAGATGAATCCTTGCAGTCACGAAAGCTTTAAATAGAAAGGCCACTTGTGTTGTGGCCGAAACGTCGTGAGAATTTTTATTGCGTTATTTTATTTTATTAATTTATTATTTTATTCTCAATCTACGTGACTTTACCGAAAGAACCAAAGAAGACGAATCCTCTACTCGTTGGGAGCAGTGGGGTCCGTGACCAAAAACCCGTGGCTCTTGAAGGAACTGCTTCGTGACGGTCATCAACGTTGCATTGCGGCTCTTGAAACATTGAGCGGCTTTTTTTGGTCAACGGTTTTACTTAACTTGATTCCTCTGTCTGTCTGGGTCAAATCTTGTAGTCAAAATTTCTTCCACTTCCTCGTTGTCAAATCAAGTCCACATTTTTAAAAAAATAAATAAAAATCGGCATCAATTCATTGCCTCGTTTCAAGCAATTACATTTTTTTATGGACGGCGTATTAATTATATATTTTTGTGTAGGTCAAAAACGCCGCGGTAAGTAAACTGGAATCGGCTCGTACAAAAAGCAGGCGCCGCGTGTCTCAGGTGCTACTGACGAACTTCTCGACCGTGAGTTAAACCAAGTTGTTAATAAAACCGTTGTTGAAAAAAAAACTTTTTTAAAGGAGTTTATTTGTCTTGTTTACACTGAATTTCGAATAAAAAATGTCTCAATGTTTTTTGGTTGCCGTTCTCTGTGGCTATGACCGCTTTGTGTTGATATTTTATTGTTGTTATAGGCGCTCCTCAACAAGGCCGTTCCGCTGATGGGATGTGTGAATTAAAACAAAATCAACTTGTCATTCGAAATTGACTTATTCACGTGCTATATAGTTGGCGTTGTTGTACGTGGAGGGACGGGGCAAAGAGCTACGAGAGTTGATTTATTTTATTTGATTTCGCGACCTAATCTTCAATCGGACCGGCATCTCTCAAACACTCGGGGTGCTTTATGAGACCTCCTTTGCCAGTAACAAGATATAGGAATAGGTTTTACCCTTTTAACTGGCACAAAAAAACTTGAATAAAGGTGTCAGTTTTTGTGCCAGTTAAAAGGGTAAAACCTATTCCTATAACTCGGGGTGCTGTAGGGGAACGCACGCGCACATTGACTCCACGTGCCGACACGCGCGGAGCTGAACCAACGCTTCGCTGCATCTCACGGCACAAGTGGAACCGTCCCGTTAATGTTAGTTTAGAACGAAGCGAACAATCTCATGGGTTCTTTCGCTAAAGTCATGAAGGTAGAAATACAAATAAAACAAATCACGACGTTTCGATCGCAACACAAGCAATCTTCATCGGGTGAGACAAGCACAGCAATAAAACAGCTGAAGTGGGCGAGAGAGAGCGAGAGAGAGCTGCCGTGGCAAGAGGTCATCCAGGGCAAACCACGATGGAAGCAAACAAAGTTTTCCGTGCGATGCCACCTACTCCCCGCTGATGCGGACGCGTCGGAAGTTGGGTGCACGAACACCACCATCAACAACAACAAGAACTTCAACTCGCACATCCCGTGTCAACGGCAACACCGCGTGGCCTTCAAAGAGAGAGAGGAAAAAAAATCACGTAGCATGCGACGCTTCGGTCGATGACCCTTCTTCGTATATACATACAAAGATAAAGATTCCCCATATAGGCCGAACATAATTTTGGGGTTAAGTGCCGTTAGCGAGTAGCAGCGGCTGTGAAGACCGCACGCACGCCATAAGCACGACAGACGTATATACAGTACACACTTACACATGAACATATCTGCACCTATATACACGCACAAACACGCTTGTGCGAACGTACGTATATACATATATACACATATACACGTACGTACTTACACACAATACACACACGGGCGGTTGCTGTTCGCGAGCGTCTATTAAGGCCAGAAGAATAGAGCAACAGTGCGGGCGGTGTGGCCAGAACGGCCACGCGCAAACCGAGATGGCCCATTTCAGGCCGAGTCGAGGGCCCAGCAACCGGTTCACGTATTTGTCACTGATGCATAGCCGTGAGCGGGAATCGAACTGGCTTCCCACACACAAAGATCACCCGCATAGCCTGTTGGGGCAAGTGCCGTTAGCGAGCAACTTTGAAGGCGCCGGCACGGCGCATGAGGGGGTGGGTGGGTGGCCGGCACAACGCCCGGCCGCCTTTGTATCCCTCCCCCCCCCCGGTGGCGATGTTTACAGTTACTCATTTGAGGCTGAGACGACTTAGGGGAGGCCCCGGACTGGTTCCTAATTATCGTGAGCGTGAATCGAACTCGGGTCGCCGGGTTCGTAGCGCAGCGTAGCGCTAACCGCTGCACCACCGCTCCCCACGCATTTCGCACTCTTAAGAATGAGAGTCCGCACCATCCGATTGAGCACGGTGCGAAAGAAGTCCAACATACAAGGGACATTTGTGAGAGAGGGAGAGAGCTTTATAGCTCATCGGATTCCTCCAGGACAAATACATATACACCCACGTTCTACAAATTATACAAAGATAAAGGCTCCACGTATGGCCTCAACAGACTGTTGTGGCAAGTGACGTTAGCGAGCACATTTAAAGGACAACTCGGCACACGAAGGGGTGGGGTGTGGCTAAGAACCACGCCCGGTCGCCTTTGTATCCCCATTGCTGATGCATTCGTACGTCCCGCGCCGAGTAAGCGTTTGACGGCTGAGTCGACATAGAGGGGGCACAGTACCGTTTCAAATACACACACATGTTCATGTCCATGCACATCATATGCATACACACACATAGACATACACACATAGACATACACACACACATAGACATACACACACATACGACGCGTACACATACAATGGATATAACATCGTACATACGCCACTCGTATAGACAAACACACCAGTTTCAAACACATAGTAACCCACACAAAGATATCCCTCTAGCCCTACAGACTGATGGGGCAAGTGCTGTTCATAGGTGCTCGCTAACAGCACTTGCCCCAACAACAACAACAACAACCAGACAAAGATCCCCCGTATAGCCTTTAACAGACTGTTGGGGCAAGTGCCGTTATCGAGCACCTATGAAGGCCGGCACGGCACATCAGGGGGTGGGTGGCCAGCACCACGCCCGGCCGCCTTTGTCTCCCCAGTGGCGATATTTACTCCACACCGCACCAGGTACTCATTTGAGGCTGAGTCGACCTAGGGGATGCCCAGGGTATATATATATACACACACGTATACACACATATAGGTATATACATATAAACTCAGACTCACACCGCGATTCACTTTTTGACTCGATATTCTCCGGAACGCTTGGAGTAGGGATTTTTGGCGTAAGGCACTACCACTAGAGTCTTGTCAAGGGAACGCTAATACAGTATATAATAACAATTATATAATATTGTAGCCTATAACCCCATATAAGTATGAACAAGTTTATACATTTTTAAAATCTTGGGACTAATATAAGGCGAGATTGGATGTGACATCACCAAAATAATTACCAGAACACCGTTCCCCACTAGATTAAATTAAACACATACATACAGTTCACACATATACTCACCAATATACACATACATACATCATTCACACACACTCATACACACATCATTCACACACACACACTCATACCCACATCATTGACACACACACTCACTCATACACACATCATTCACACACTCATACATACATCATTGATACACTCACTCATACACACATCATTCACACACACACACTCATACCCACATCATTCACACACACTCAATCATACACACATCGTTCACACACACACATTCATACACATTATTCACACATACATACACACGCTCATATACACATACATCATTCACACACATTCCCTCATATACGCAGCGATCTATATACTCATAACAAACACTCAACACATTCGTTAATAACACTGTCAAACTATGGACAATATATTAAACCCATAGAGGCACATACAGACACAGAGACCCATGGGGAAATTTCTAGAGCTAAACATTAACGACAAGCCACAGTGGTGCGAGTGTGACCAAGCTACTCACACTATGGACAATAAAGTAAACACAGAGACACACAGAGATACAGACTCGTAGAGACTCACAGAGAGACTCATGGACCGCAGAGTAAACCCACTGCGGGCTGCGCTCCTCCAACTGTGGAGCAGGAAGAGCGGCGACACGACACGAAGTCTCTCCCTCTGTCTCTCTGCTGAAGCACTGTCGTCGTGGTCAGTAGCAGCAGCAGACCTCCACATTGGTGACATCGAGCTCGTTGCACCACGTTGTCATACGCAAGCAAATTGAAGGAAATAAGCTGAACAATCCTCCCCCCCCTCCTCCTTTACAAGTCTATCCATGCAAGCAAAAACAAGAAGATTGCTTTTAAAGTATTTCTCTGCACGTCCCGTCAGCCACGCCGAGTTGGCCTTCTGGGAGTGCACACACAACTCGAACCAAAGTTTGCGTGTGGGCTTACGCTGAGAAACCGAACGCTGCTAAAGTTCTGCATTCCTCGAAGGCCCCCTGTGGGCTGATGGCATGTTTAACAGAGAGAGAGACGTCATTTGTGTTCTTCAATGCGCGCGGGCAGGTGTGCCGAAAGGAAGTTTCATCATTTGCAGACCAGCATTGTAAACATCCCCTATGAGAGACGACCATCAGGGGCACGTGATGTTATCGAGCACCGGCCTACGGCGCACGAGTAGCGGCTGCCCGTGTGTGGCCAGAAGCAGCACGCAAGCCCGGCCGCCTTTGTCTCTCCACCCCCGCCCCTTCCACAACACCGCGCCCCGCGCCCAGCCCTCGCCTCACCTGTACCACTCGAGGCCTCGCTGGTAATTCCTGTCGAAGAAGTGCGGCTCAGCTCCTGCCGCCCTCACGTCCGGATGGAGCCGAAGGGCCTCGAGAAGAGCGCGGGTTCCCCCCTTCTTCACGCCGATGATGATGGCTTGCGGCAGCCTCCTCCTCGCAACCTCCTCCTCCTCCTCCTCCACCACCTCTTCCCTTGCAAAGCCACGGCTCGATTCCCCGTGCCGGATCCTCAACGCCTCTGCCGATGCCTCCGGTCTCTCGACCTCTTCCCCGGCCACACCGCGGTTCGACTCCCCGTGCCGGATCCTCAACGTCGCCTCCGCCGAAGCCGCCGCCGCCGCCGCGAATTCTGCTGCTTGGGAGCGGACGGCGTTCGCGTAGCCCCTGAAATCGCGGGGTCCCGGCAAAGGAGGGGTCCTCCTGTCCGGAGCGCATTGAGACGGGGTCGATAAAGCGAGCAGTAAGAGTACTCCTCCGGTGATGATGGGCGTCATGGTCGTTCTAGGCGCGAGGAGAAACTCGCAAGGGTCGTGGAAGAGACGGCGGTGATGAGACGGACGATGGTTTCCCAGGTCTTCTGTGTCAATCAGTCTTATTGCTGTCCGCACTATCGAAGAACCACTACGTACTTGCAAATAATACTTTGAGAGATTGTCACGTGTTTTTTTGTTGTTGTTGTTAAAAATGTAAAAGATGACGATCACTACGAATTGTGCGAGGAATAGTCCGTCGATAAAAGATAAAAAGGTGAATCCTCCTGGATTGTCATTGACACTCCATTGTCGGGAAGGAGATGATGACAAAGATCCCCCGTGTAGCCTTCACAGACTGTTGGGGCAAGTGCTGCTAGCGAGTAGCACCTACTCAAGGCCGGAACGGCAACACGAGGGGGCGGGTTGGCCAACAATCACGCCCGACCGCCTTTGTCTCTCCTCCCCCCCCCCAATGGCGATATTTACACACCGCGCCAGATACTCATTTGAGGCTGAGTCGACCTAGGGGAGGCCCAGGACCGGTCCAGATAATCGTCACCGCCACCGCTGGTTTTGTCCGTAAAGCGGTAATCGAACTCAGGGGTTGCCGGGATCGCAGCGCTCCACCTATGATCTACACCCCCCACCCCCACTACACAGACAGACACGCACACTGGCACATGAGCGAGACGGACTCCGCTGATGTAGCGCACTGAGGACGAGACGACGCTTCCCTTGCCCCCAGCCCCCAGCCGAGTGCCGTGGCTGAGCGAACTTTTTCGAATTCAGTCGCAGAGGCACCCCCAGCCGCCTCCTCCTCCTCCTCGCCCTTATAAGAGCGATGGGCGCGTCATGGGGGGGCGGAGCGGGCTGGGTGGAGGGGGTGGTGGTGAACGGGGAGGGCTGGAGGGGTAGGCGGGATTACGTGAAGTGGAGGAGAGACAAAGGTGGCTCGGGGCGGTGACGATGCCTGGGGTTGCTGTGGCCGGTCAAAGGCGGCCGGGCGTGGTTGCTGGCCACCCACCCCCTCGTGCGCCGTTCCGGCCTTCATAGGTGCTCGCTAAGAGCACTTGCCCCAACAGTCTGTTCAGGCTATACGGGGGGATCTTTTTATTTGTTTTGGCTGGCCATAGAGTCGCTTTCAAAGACCAAGATAACTCACCCACACCACTGTGTAGTCTTTAACAAACTGTTGGGGCAAGTGCTGTTAGCGAGCAGCACCTATGAAGGTCGGAACGGCACACGAGGGGGTGGGTGGCCAGCACCAGGTACTCATTCGAGGCTGAGTCGACCTAGGGGAGGCCTAGGACCGGGTAAAATAATCGTCACCGGTGTTGGCCGTGAGCGGGAATCGAACTCGGTTCGCCGGGTTCGTAGCGCAGTGCGCTAACCGCTACACTACCGCTCCCCAGCATAAACACGCATAGACATACACACACACACATAGCCATACACACACATAGACATACACACACATAGACATTAACACACATAGACATACACACACATAGACATTAACACACATAGACATAAACACACAGACATACACACACATAGACATGAACACACATAGACACACACACATAGACATACACACACATAGACATACACACACATAGACATACACACACAGACATACACACACATAGACATACACACACATAGACATTAACACACATAGACATACACACATAGACATACACACACACATAGCCATACACACACATAGACATACACACACATAGACATTAACACACATAGACATACACACACATAGACATTAACACACATAGACATAAACACACAGACATACACACACATAGACATGAACACACATAGACACACACACATAGACATACACACACATAGACATACACACACAGACATACACACACATAGACATACACACACATAGAAATACACACACAGACATACACACACATAGACATAGACATACACACACATAGACATAAACACACATAGACATACACACACATAGACATAAACACACATAGACATACACAAACATAAACATAAACACACATATACATAAATACACATAGACATACACACACATAGATATAAACACACATAGACATACACACACATAGACATACGCACATAGACAAGACACACATAGACATACACACATAGACATAAACACACATAGACATACACACACATATACACATACATACACATAGACAAGACACGCACATAGACATAACAACAACAACCGCCATTCGCCACTAAGTGGCAGTGACGTCACCACGACGCTTGTGCCAGGCTATGTGCACCCTGAGGCCACGTGAAGTGTCGAACGCCCGCTGGCAGGAGGTCACGGGGCAGACCCAGGTGCCACGGGTCTACTGACTGAGATGACTGGCTGGTGCACGACCTGTGCCCCCTACTGTGCCAACTTGCTGTGCTTTAGCCACCCGGCGCTTCGCTCGTTGTTGTGAGCGTCGCTCCTCCGCCCTCCGTTGTTGTTGGAGGGCGACTGCCTCCAACTGCCCAGTAGCATCCTTCACGAGCCTCCTCCACAGAGGCCGATCTTAACACCGCTGGTACCAGTCATCGGCAAGTCCACTCAGCTCCACGTCCTCCTGTACCACATCACTCCATCTCTTCTCTAGCCCGTGCCGCGCCCGTTTAGCCCCCTCAATCCGGCCGAACAAAAGCTGTTTCGGCATGCGGTGGCTGGGCATGCGGGCTACATGACCCAGCCATCGCAGCCTTCCCCGCCGGAGGAGCTCACCGATGGGACCTTGCCCAGATCTTTCAAGGATTTGTGAGCCCCTCACACAATCCAGTCTGGTTAAACCCAGGATGGATCGTAGGCAGGCCAGCCTAAATGTTTCTAACCGGCGAAGATGTTTCATTAGGGGGGTCCACGTTTCGCAAGCGTAGAGAAGGGAGGGAATGACCGTGGCCGAGAAGACCTGAAGCTTAGTGCGGAGCGACAGACCATAGACATACACACACATAGACATACACACACATAGACAAGACACACACATAGACATACACACATAGACATACACACACATATAGACATAAACACACATAGACATACACACACATAGACATTCACATATAGACATAAACACACATAGACATACACACACATAGACATACACACATAGACATAAACACACATAGACATACACACACATAGACATACACACATAGACATAACAACACATAGACATACACACACATAGACATACACACATACACACACATAGACATACACACACATACATACACACACATAGACATACACACATAGACAAGACACACACATAGACATACACACACACATAGCCATACACACACATAGACATACACACACATAGACATACACACACATACATACACACATAGACATACACACACATAGACAAGACACACACATAGACATACACACACATAGACATACACACACATAGACATACACACATAGACATAAACACACATAGACATACACACACATATACACATACATACACATAGACAAGACACGCACATAGACATAACAACAACAACCGCCATTCGCCACTAAGTGGCAGTGACGTCACCACGACGCTTGTGCCAGGCTATGTGCACCCTGAGGCCACGTGAAGTGTCGAACGCCCGCTGGCAGGAGGTCACGGGGCAGACCCAGGTGCCACGGGTCTACTGACTGAGATGACTGGCTGGTGCACGACCTGTGCCCCCTACTGTGCCAACTTGCTGTGCTTTAGCCACCCGGCGCTTCGCTCGTTGTTGTGAGCGTCGCTCCTCCGCCCTCCGTTGTTGTTGGAGGGCGACTGCCTCCAACTGCCCAGTAGCATCCTTCACGAGCCTCCTCCACAGAGGCCGATCTTAACACCGCTGGTACCAGTCATCGGCAAGTCCACTCAGCTCCACGTCCTCCTGTACCACATCACTCCATCTCTTCTCTAGCCCGTGCCGCGCCCGTTTAGCCCCCTCAATCCGGCCGAACAAAAGCTGTTTCGGCATGCGGTGGCTGGGCATGCGGGCTACATGACCCAGCCATCGCAGCCTTCCCCGCCGGAGGAGCTCACCGATGGGACCTTGCCCAGATCTTTCAAGGATTTGTGAGCCCCTCACACAATCCAGTCTGGTTAAACCCAGGATGGATCGTAGGCAGGCCAGCCTAAATGTTTCTAACCGGCGAAGATGTTTCATTAGGGGGGTCCACGTTTCGCAAGCGTAGAGAAGGGAGGGAATGACCGTGGCCGAGAAGACCTGAAGCTTAGTGCGGAGCGACAGACCATAGACATACACACACATAGACATACACACACATAGACAAGACACACACATAGACATACACACACATATAGACATAAACACACATAGACATACACACACATAGACATTCACATATAGACATAAACACACATAGACATACACACACATAGACATACACACATAGACATAAACACACATAGACATACACACACATAGACATACACACATAGACATAACAACACATAGACATACACACACATAGACATACACACATACACACACATAGACATACACACACATACATACACACACATAGACATACACACATAGACAAGACACACACATAGACATACACACACACATAGCCATACACACACATAGACATACACACACATAGACATACACACACATACATACACACATAGACATACACACACATAGACAAGACACACACATAGACATACACACACATAGACATACACACACATAGACATACACACACATAGACATACACACACATAGACATACACACATATAGACATACACACACATAGCCATACACACACAGACATACACACACATAGACATAAACACACACAGACATACACACACATAGACATAAACACACACAGACATACACACACATAGACATACACACATAGACATAAACACACATAGACATACACAAACATAGACATAAACACACATATACATAAATACACATAGACATACACACACATAGACATACACACACATAGACATACACACATAGACATACACACACACATATAGACATACACACACATACGACGCGTACACACATTGGATACAACATCGCACATACACCACTCGTATAGACAAACACGCGTTAAAAACACATAGCACCCACATATATCGAGACTCTGGTGGGGGCGGGGGGGGGTCAGGTTCGTGGCGTAGCTCGCAAACCGCTATCTCCCCCCCCCCCCCCCCCACACAAAGGCCGAGATCCCCCCTGTGTAGCCTTGACATACCGTCGGGGCAAGTGCTGTTAGCGAGCGGCTATCACACAGGCCACTGTGGTGTTTCTGACCGGGTAGATTGAGGTCGGGGTTTTTTTTATTTGAAACGGGAGTGGATCCTGCAGCGAGCGGTGCGATTGGCTCGGCTCGCTGGATAGCCGCTTCGATA